TATTAAACCGGTACCAATATAAGAATAAATAAATATATATATATATATATATATATATATAAACGCCTAAGAAGTGTACACAACAACACCAATAACAAAATAGGAACTATAAATGTAATTATTTATAAATATTTCGGATAATAGATATGCTTCATCAGTAAATATGATTGTGATGTTGAATGAATCATATATCAGTCTACTTAGATTAAACTATAACAATCTTGAAATTTATACAATAAAAAAGTCAAACCGAACATCAGGTAAGACGCTTGCACAATTCTAAATTTGTGTTAAACACGACATAGGGTATATGACTAATTACAACAGAGAGTTCAAATATATGCTTTAAATAAAAATAATAATGTGCGATATGAACTAGCACAATTCTAAAGCTTTAACGGTGACGACAGTTATGATGTTACAAGAACGATTGCGTCAATAAGAATTCGAAATAAACTGAACGATCTAAATTTGTAAATATTTCAAATTTGACAACGGTAGAGTAGTTACAACAGAGTCTGCGTATTTAAACATCGCAAACAAACGGCCGTTAAAATATAATAGTAAATTTTGACTAAGGTTAACTAGTTGAACTTGGCTTGGTACTTTTACATCCCTATAAAAATTAAGCAATTTAAATTGGTATATATATATATATATATATATATATGTATATATCTACAATGCATAGTGATCCGCCTAGCTGAACGACGTGTCATCTGCAAGAGTCTACAGAGAGAATTAAGTGTTTCCGCAATGTCATTTAGTATACTCTAAAAAAAACAGGAGTCCAAGGACAGACCCTTGAAGAACGGTTTACTTCTGGTTTGCCCACATTTAATTATACCAATTATCTATTAGTAAAGAAAATAAAAAGACAAAAGGTATAATGAGCATACAATTGTATAGTCTGTTTAAACTTTATAGGTATATAGTTTATCTGTGTTTTCTATATATTCAGGTATTTTTCATTTTGTAGTTCCACTTTTATTTGTATAGATAAATGATATATAAATCAAACATTTTTTTCACAATAATTAAATATCAATTCAATCGACCCATTTAACAGACAACTAACATGACTAATGATAAAACAATGGCATTCAATTATAAAAGTGATTTAATAATTCACCAGTTTCTAAATGATCATGATATAAATACACCAATATATGATTAAGTGTTTTTAATTGCAAACATAATTGTTTTAACTTATGAATCAAATTTATACTTGCATTGCATAAGAAAATAAAATAAAAGCACTAATTAAAAGCACTAAGGTAAAAATAAGTAATATGTGTCACTATCTGTATTATTATGAAAAATACAACATTATATATTTTAAAAGAAACAAAACATTTATATATTAACAAAGTCACAAAACATTTTATTTACAAAGTCACTAAGTCACAAATGACAATATTTCACAAAGTAATTCAGTTCAAATGAAGGAGAAGGGATGCTGCGACAGAGAAATCTATCACGTTGATGAGTCCGTGTTAGTATCTGTCTTTCAGTAGTTGCTGGATGGTGTCTATAACTTTGCATCGTCGTCTTTTTGCCGGGCAGGCTCCTCCTGCTGCATACTGGATAATGGTACATTCTGTTACTGAGTTTTCTTAAGTAACTCGATGATCTCCTAGATGTTGGGGTGGGCATGGTGGAGTCTCTTCTTTACTTTGTTGTGCGAACCTTCCAGGAGGTTGCGGGTCCTTCGGTTAAGTAGTGGTTTCATAAAATGCGATATCCTTCAACCCAAGACTCTGTTATATAATCAGTAAATGCTGTTGTAGCGGGTATGTTGTCAGCTTTCCTCATGTCTAAAAATGTAAGCCAAACATCCTCAACAAGGTGGGGTGGAACGAGAGCTAATACTGCGGCTTGTTGTATAAGTCGAGTGATGTCTTTATTTTCTTTATAGAATGACTGTAGTCCCCATGTCTATGCATTTCGCCAAATACACTGGGTAAAAATGAAGAAGCAGCCTTTCATGATTACCCCTGGGAACACTGTCCCTTTTGCGTTGTTGGGTTTCTGTCTCGTAATCGATAAATTCTGTTTCTGGTTGAAGTTATAACTGATAAATTTGAGCGATGTAACGTATATGGCTGAAGAAGCGTGAGTAGATGATCTCGTCTTTTCCTGGTGGTAGAACATACACTAGTGGGAACAAAGAACTTTGTATAAATTAAAAGAAGAAAGTGCTGGCTTGGATACAGATTACTGTTCAAATTATGTCATTTGTAAAGCTTGGCTACTGAACAGTTGCATTTATATTTAATTTTTTAGAATTTATTGTTTTTTTATATTAAATTTCAGAACAAAGTATTTATTAAAATTTAAAAAAATTAATGAGGTGAAAAAATAAAAATAAATTTGAAATGTTTCATTATTTTACTTTTTACATTTTCCCCCAGAATGTACTAACAATTTAACAACTGTGTCGATAATTTTTCAAAAATGATAAACACTTTTGAATATTATTTTTAAATATTTTTAAAATATTTTTTCACATTTTCTTTGATTTGATAGTATAATTAATTATCTTTTATAAAATTTACAGTAAAATAAAGGTAAAAAATATGACTATAATTCAGAAATCAACTATAATTGTTAAAACAACTAAACACCCTATGTTTTTATAGACCTGCAATTAAATGTAGGCAAACCAGGATGACACCATTGGTACCAGTGGATTATGGGATTTATCCTATCGAGATAGTTATTTTATTGAATCTTAAATTCCAAGCCTCGGTTAAATTGCAAATGAATTAGAGAAAATCTATTATAAATCACCACCAGGATGGGCTGAACGAATGATCGAAAAAGTGGTTAATGTCTTTTAATCCTGATAAAACAGAAATTATGATATTTTCGAATGTTGACATTCCAGAAAAGAATTTTACATTTAATGGAAAAATCACCATACCAGTAACTAATATTCATACACACTTAGGGGTTACATTTAGCAATGATGCTAAATGGAATGTCCATATTGATGATATTATTTTAAGTGTGTCTAAACATATATAAAACAAAAAAGTAAAATCACACAAATACTGAATTCCGAGGAAAATTCAATCGGAAAGACCCTAATCACATGGCAAAATCAAATGACAAAACACATCAAACGAATGGACAACAACTGTCATATTCCTGACTTGGTACAGGCATTTTCAAATGTAGAAAATGCTTAGGAAAGTGAAATATAGACTCAGTAGAAAAAAAATTTAGTTTTATAGGACCTTTATTGGAATATGACAATGAAGTTTGGAATAGTATGTGGTTTGGTGATATCAATAAGCTGGAGCAATTACAGCTTCAAGCTGCTTAAATAACAGAGGAACATGATAATTTACAAGGAACTTTGGGTGGGAGATGTCGGCTGGATGAAGAGAGAGAAGAAAAATTAATACCAGAATATTAGAATAATTTAATTCAACCAACGTTCCAATGTATGACTCTTTATCTACTACGCAATGGTGGAGGAAGCAGTGTCGGTGGTTTCCGTAATCTCTAGTCCAGGAGGATATGTTAATTAGATCTAACCAGAAAAGATTGGATTGTTAATGGATAGAACATCATCAATAACCTGTATTTGAAATTAAGTGACCTAACTTCTTTGATCTTCTTTTTTACAACTGTTTAAAGGAATTCCGACTCATATTAAAATAAGAATAAAAATATGAGTTTGCAAACTCAATATTATTCTTACCCAACTTCGATGCTCTGCGTCTTTCTTAAATTATGATCTTTATAGAGTTACTACTATTTCTGATCCATTTTGCTGCTGCAGCGTGTATCATGAAGATTCGCATCATTTATTTTTAAAATGCATGCTAGTATTATAGTCAGAAAAAAAAGGAGCAAGCATTTAGAAAATTGTAGCAGGCTCCCAAATAACTGTTTTATAGTACACCTTAGCCATTCAAGTATATAAAACATATTCAACTTTTTTTTTATTTCGAAGTTTCATATGGCTTTAGTTTAAATAAATTTTACATGTAAAACTAAAATTCATTCATACAATGTTTTTCAATTTATCATACTTTAGGCCAATTATTGTATGAAAAACACGTCTACAAATGAGTTTATACTTCATTGTAAAGTTGTTCAAGTAAAATCATATGGTATCCTACTTCAATGTTGAGCGAACGTAATGCAAAAATTACAGTGGGTAAAAAATGTATGTCACAGTTAATAAACTCATCGTAGATACCAGGATTGAAATTTTGTGTTTGCGCCAGACGCGCGTTTCGTCTACAAAAGACTCATCAGTGACGCTCGAATAAAAAAAAAAGTTAAAATGGCCAAATAAAGTACGAAGTTGAAGAGCATTGAGGGCCAACAATTCCTAAAAGTTTCGTCAAATACAGCTAAGGTAATCTATTCCTGAGGTAGAAAAGCCTCTAGTATTTCAAAAGTTCAAAGTTTTATAAACAGTTAATTTATAATAATGACCATATCAATGATAATTCATGTCAACACAGAAGTGCTGACTACTGGGCTTGTGATACCCTCGGGGAATAAAAACTCTACCAGCAGTGGCATAGACCCAGTGGTTATAAATAAACTCATCATAGATACCATGATTGAGATTTTGTATTTGCGCCAGACGCGCGTTTCGTCTACAAAAGACTCATCAGTGACGCTCGAATAAAAAAAAGTTAAAAAGGCCAAATAAAGTACGAAGTTAATTTTTGAGTCCTCTTCGATTTACTCGTTTAAGCAGTATCGATTTCTATAAAAACCAAAGACAACTGTTTGAAATTAAAAACTAAACTCTAAACCGTCTAAGTTAAACACAGGATAAAAAAACAATTATATTCGTTCATTGTCGGAAAATATAAAATTAAGTTGTACTCTTTACGAAACAGGTGATAAATTGATAAACTGCACGAGCATCGCATATTTCCTGTTTACAAAGCTTGAAAAAAAAATGTTAAAGTGTTATACTATGTGCAGATGTATATATCTATATAAATGTGATATAAATTTCTTACATGCTTTTCTAAGAAGAAAAATTTTATTTTGTCGTGTTCCACTTGTCCAATGTTCAGAAAATCCTTGTATAGCACACACATTGTCCGAATACCATTTTATAAAAGAGCCTTGTCCTTCACATTCCTCTGCTACCGCCTGGTAGTTATCATATGTATATCCAAGTTCTGCATCATTATCTGTAACATTTACATGATATATCAACTTAATAAACAAAAGTGAAAATGCATTTGAATTAGTTTGATCAAGAGAAGATGTGAGTACACGTCAATTATAAAGTAAAGCAACAATATGTATAGAACAATCAGAAGGCCTCTACAGTTCACCATATGATTTCCAAGAATATACCACCGCTAAATCGCCCTTAGTTGATAATAGTTGTTATACACATTTTTAAGTGGCCATCAGAGTTTGCCATCAACAAAAAATTCTTTAAAAGAAGAAAATTCTGGAATATATCAAACGACATCGTATGATAAGATTACTATCGTTCAGGTGGGGTGCAGTAGTTTGATAGCACCCACCCACCCTTCCCTTATTCATTATTAATCAGTGGAACACCTTAATGGACATCGAACAAGTATATTTCATTTCCAAAGAATCAGAGAATGTGTTAATTTCACACCGAACTTAAAAGACACCAGATATGCACATGTAAGAAATCTGTTGCATCATAAAATTTGTAAATTATTTCTTATTACAGAACTTCTAGTTTGACAAAAAGCATGATATGCAATATTTTATTACTTTTAACATTAACATATATTGTTTTAGTAACAGAGAGAGTCGTTGTACTTCAGTTTCGTTAAAGAATTAAAATTTCAGAAATGTCTAATACCACAGGTAACATCATATTTTGTATCGCACTTTACATATCTACGTTTGAGTTTATTGCTGACACATTGAATTGCGGCGATGCATTTTTCGTTCTTTTTTGCAGTACCAAAGTCGGGAAGTCGATCTGTAAGAAGAAATATTAAGAAATTATTCCTAATTAATTTATTTCAACTATTATCAGTACATCGTGATCGCGTTAACGTTAATTTCTATTTCAGTTTCAATTAAAAATCTTGTGGATTACCTTAGTAAATGTCAAAAATAGTTATCAACTCTTCCAAAAAAGTTACATGAGCTGCTACGAATATATTGTGTTTTATTGGATTGATGTTTCAGCTAAAAATACTTCGATCGTTTATAAATTTGTGGAAACAAAATACAAATGACTGTTCGTATTTACTTCGAATGGAACATATGCATTGATACAAATTCAGTGAAAAAGTAAAGCAATCAATGAACCAGTGGAATTTTCATGTACTCACGTTCCCAAACTTTGTAGCAGCCGACACAATTACAGTTGGCGCTTCTAGCGAATGAATCTATATCCTCAATACAATAACAATCTGCTCCCTTTAAAAGACCAAATTCAACTTGTTATATGTTAATACATAACAAGAGGAGAAAATACCAAGTGGACAATCAACATCCATAAGTCGAAGAAATCAGACAACCTACATAAAATGATAGAAAAGAGATTAAACGTACACTTGACAACCAAAAGCAAAGAAAGTGTTTTTCTGCCCATTTTAACTTCACAGAGAGGTCTCCAACAAGGAACAAATGCTGGAAGTTCTAGGCGATTCCTAGTATCGCTATGAGCGAAATACTATTCTTTGATAGCTATATAAAACACTATCTCACTATTTGTGCATTCAAATGCCCTGATGAGGGGAGATTTACAAATTAAAGACAATAACGAACAAAGAAATTTGATAAATTGTGCTATACTCTTAAATAATGTATGGAAAGATCGGACGACATAAAAAAAAGTAGTACTCTTAAGGTAGATTGAAGTCTAAATTGAAAACGATAGAACGTTTTAATACTTTGCAAAAATGTAGTTTTTATCATGCTATTAACAAAAATATAATAAGAAGTATGGTTCATGGAGCTTTTCTTTAGATACAGATTGTGCAAAATTGTCAAATTGTGTGTAGATTATAATTAAAAAAAACTCATTTGTATGAATATAAAGAAAACTAAAGGATAGAGTTTTTAAATAAATTATGTTATGAGACGATAGCGCTGACTTTTAATATGCTATAAAACCAAATAAGAATAAAAATTGGGATCACGTAACTCGTTTTATAATAACAAAATAAAATAGGTACAGTATTACAAATTCCTTTATAAAATGGATAATCTGAGTTATGATCTCCCGATATATGACTAAATATTCTGTTTTTGTAGAAAAAATCGTGATAATAACATAAAACACATATTTTCCTTCTGATGAAAAGTCTTACAAATTAATTGCATTCCTGCGTAAAATGTTTCTGCCGGAGGTTCACATATGTCCATATTTTTAATCCATGAAAGCATTTACATTGTAATTGCCACCAATATATAACGTCATCATTGCTTGATATCATATATCGTATGACGTCATAGACTGGCATTGTGTAATGCTACTTTTTTTTCCCTGGCTAAGGAAATGCAACAACTTTAAACTAGCGACAACAAGAGAGTAAAAAGACCTAGACCAACTCTTTTTTTGCTTTTTTACAATCCAATATGGCAGAAGACACCCGTTCTACCTTAGGAGTAATCAACTACCAAAAGAAACAAAACACACCTTGCAAAGTTAATTAGAAAAATTAAATGCTTCTTTAAGTTCTTTTATTTTAGCGACTAAGCGTAGACCGGAGCACATTTCATATGAAGCAAGGAAGAGCTTCATTTTGAAATTTACGCACGATCAACGCTTTTACAACCCTTAAAATTACAAAAAAAGAAACATTCATTTTTTAAGATAAGATTTTATGCTATAACCGTAAAATTATGGGTTGAATCAATCTTTACTTTTCGTTTGTTTTTCTGTGCATTGTTGCATCGTTGTCATGGAGAGAACTTGAAGTAATACATGTAGATTTTGCATCTTTTTTGGGGTAAATGTAATTTTGAAACGTCGCGTGATTGTATCTTGTCTGCGAATCAAAACTTCAAAATCTTATGGAACATATGCTGAATGTTTTTTAATAACATATTTAAGAAACATAAAAAAATGTTGGTTCTGTTCTAATTTGTAGTCAGTTCCGGGTTAATAAGCGTTTTAAAAGATTGGACTAAATTATATATATAGTAATTAGACAAGTGTGGAACACGTAGATACCTTTGTATTATGTTTTAACAACTAGACTCAGGCTAGCGACCAGTCAAGCTAGCAACCAGTTCTAGCGACCACCTACGAACACATTGAGAATCAACTTGCCAAAAAATCAGAATGCGGTATGTGTAAAAACCACAAAATCACAATATGAAACAACGTTCTGTTAAAAAGAAAATATATCTACCAATACGGTATTTATTGTTTTTTAACGTTCAAATGAGCAGAGATGTCATTATTTGAAGTAAAGGGGGGACACTACAACACCAATTGCCTCTGTAGCTGAATGAACCGAATAGCTTGCTTGCTAAATGCATCTATTAGTGATGAAATATATAGTTACCATAATAAAAAACGAGCCAACAATTCGAAAATAGTAAAAACATATTAATAAAGCCTGCGTCAGTTGTATGATGAAATTCTGTTTATGTCTATTATTACGACAATCTTTGTTAAAGAAATTTTTTTTCATTCCGCTGCATTCAAACAGAAACTATATATGATCATATATGTATTTATTTTAATAAAAGCGCGCCCTCTCCGCGGACTAACATGATCGAGAAAGGGACAAGTTTGGAAAATAATCGTATTTTGACATCTTCTTTACGTTTTCTGTGTTTACCGAGATTGTAAACTTGTATCAATTATTTCAAATAATATAAAAGACGGATTGTCTATCCCCTTAGCATATAGTGGATATATAAAAGCATATGGCGGTTCAGAAATGAGAATAAAAAGTAAACAAATTAAATTAACAAAAAGAAAATAATAAAAAACAAGAATATTTGTCCATGATAAATTGCTCACACACTCATTTTCCAACTACCTTCACCAATAACGTAAATATAAACCTGTACAAACGGACGGACGGATAAAGGAAGGGATTAAAGAGACCAGAGAATATCATGCGCTTCAGTGTCGTATGCGAAGCATAAAAAAATTTGTTCGTTCGTTCGTCCGTCCGTGCATCCTTTCGTCCATCCGTTCGCACTGGATTAGATTTATGTTATTAGTGAAGGTAGTTTAAGATGAAGTTGTAGTCAGATCAATGAAACTTAATACAAATGTTCATTATAATATGACACAAAATTCATATTTCGCTGAATATGGAAAATGAATTCGCGAGCGAATCATCATGGACAAATATTCGTGCTTTTTTAAGATTTAATTTGTTTACTTTTTATTCCCATTTCTAAACCGCCATATGCTATTATATGGAACGCCACAGCTGTCTTATGTGGTACTTGTACTCTGATATTACGTTATGTTGTATCATTATTACTTGATGATATTTTGTCTTTACATAATATGGATTCGACATTACATAATGATTTTTTGATATTACTCAATATAGAATAGTCATTACTTAACATGCTTAATGATATTTCAATATTACATGATATGGTTTCGTATGAACTTGATATGGTTTTGTCATTACTCGATGTGGTTTCATCATTATTTGATGTGGTTGTGCTATTAGTCAATGTAGTTTTAACATTACTTGATGTGTATGTGGCTTAACGTAATGTAGTTGTTTCATTACATGATGTGGTTTTGTTTTTTCGTAATGATGATTTGCCAATTCCTTATATGGCTTTAAAATTACATAATGATGTTTCAAAATTTGACGATTTTACACTACATGATGTGTCGTTCCAGTATTTGATGTGGTTCTGTCATTCTTTGATGTGGTTATTACATTACTTGATGAGGTAAAACCACGTGACTATTTGGGAAAAATTAGTTCTTTTTTTAAAACTGATTTCCATGTTTTATTTGCTTCGGATGTGTGTGGCAATCCATCGAGTTAGAGTTCAAATTAAAAATCGGATTACTGTTCGAATTAAACTTCGAGTCAGTTTTTTTTTAAACTTTGAGTAATTTTCGATTTCGAGTAGAATTCAAGTCATAATTAGAATTAAAGTTCGAGTAAGCATTGAGTTTCGAGTTGAACTTCGAGTTTGAGTTACCTTTTGAGGTAGAGTTCGAGTTAGACTTCGAATTTGAGTCTCATTTAGATTAAGTTTTCGAGTTGAAATTGGAGTTATCTAATATGAGTTCGTATTTAAATTTTCTATCGCGGATCAAGGGCTTTTGCTCGGGCTTTCGAAAAAAGGGTTAAGGGGTATGCGTACAAAAGATAAACAATGTTACAGTTTACAAAACACCACATAGAAATCGAAATAAAGTTAGATGTGGTGTGATTGCCAATAAGACAACTATCCACCAGAGTTTTAATGCAGTGGATGTAAGTAATTATAGGCACCCGTAACTAATAACTAAACAACTTACGAAAAACAAATATGACACACATGAAACAACGACAACCATTGAATTACAGGCTCCTGACTTGGGACAGGCACATAAAGAATGTGCACATGACGGAGTAAAACATGTCTGTGAGCGCTTAATCCTTACCCTACCATAGGTGATTGTGTAACAGCACAACACAAAAATAAACTGTAAAAATCAGATGCAATTGGCTTAACTCTATATATGACTGGGCAATATAAATCCATCAAAATCCTGGGGTGATCTCGGGTGCTCCGGTAGAGTAATCAGATCCTGCTCAACGTTTGGCACCCGTCGTGTTATTCGTGAAAGTACAAACCAAGTGATTTGGTCTAATTCGGGATGTCACATACGAGGAAAAGAGGACGGGATTGTGGTTACGACAACTTGAACATATCCGTCGTCACCTGCGAAACAGATATTCAAAAAAGTTTAGTTTTTTTTCAATTTAGTGCGAGGTATATCAGAGAATGGAATTTATAAGAATATATATTAAAAGATTGATATTCGTATATGTTCAAATGTTAAAATACACCTGTGACGTAAATCTTTTGTTCAAACTCTCCATTATTTTTCAGGAATGGAGAGTTATTTTCTATTGTTCGTCTTCATTCATTCGGACGTTTTGCCCTTTTGATATTTCCATGGGCACTGTCTTAAAAAGAGTTCACCCATGGGAATAATTCTAAAGGACGTAACGCGATATTGAATAAAGATGCATCTTACTAAAACGACTGATACTGGATTTTTTAAAATTGGGATCGTAGTAATACAATGAACACTAGATATCTCATTATTTACAAACAGCTTTTATTTGCGAGTCGTAATTCCATCGTGTAAAATAAAGTATCGTATTCACTAACATTTAACAATATAATCCACAATTTTTTTTCCGATGCAAATCTTGGCTGAATATTTGTCACGGATAGTATCCAAGTGGGTAAAAACGAAT